ATAATATTTAATTTCTCAAACTTTTAATGGATAAGCAGTTGATTCATGCATTCTTTATTGCAACTCCCTACAAGGGTTTGTTTAGTTGCAAAACTACTTAACTGATTATTTTAGGAGACCCAATGCAAGAGTATAAAGGACTGCCACAAAAAAGCAGGTAACTGGGTTTCAGCAAAATCCTTTGTCGTGGTTAACCTCGCCGATCTCTATCCGCTCTTTTCAATCTGCATAAACTGACTTATTCTGTGTATGTTATCAAAATCAATTAATAAATCCAACGTGTGGCACCAGGTTCTATTTCTGTCCATTCCATTTTCGCCCAAGGCTAAATGAATTATAATTCTTATTTCAGATACATTATTAGAACTTGCGTGAAAGATGTTTAAGAGCGTATATTCAGTGCTCTATTACATACTTTTACATATTGTGGCGAGAGAAGACCAAGGTAAGAGCCTTGATCTGCTCTTGACTATGGTCATTGTTGTATGGTCATTATTGTTTGGCCTTCTGAGTATGAATAATCTCAGACTAGACTACCCAAAACATAAGCAGTCAAAAACAGTTATATCCACGATATTCGTTTAGCTTTTAATCCTGGGTTAGCGTTAAAGTGCCACTGAAACGAAATTTTCGTACTCTCTTTTATTAGCCCAATTTATAGTTTCAAACACGCTTAAAATAATGGTGAACTTTGTTTCTGTCAATTCCTAACGGAAAGTGCTTTTTTAGCTGCTGAAATCGACTAATTGGAGTAAAACTGTGTCCGGGCTCTGGAACCGGGTTTAAGGGCCTTGTGACGTCACTGGTTGTATTCACCCAAGAAGCGCTTAAGATTCTCTCTTGTTTTTACTTGATTTATTTAAGTTTATTCTTCATATTGTCGATACCTACTAGTTTCTTACCTTGTAATTTCAGTCCAGCCTTGACAGGAAATACACATCATAAACGTTGGAGGGCGCCAAAGAGTGTAAATTCACCAAAATGAATGCTACCGGATTAGAACAGCTCAGTATACTTTTCGAACATCTCGAGTACTTGATTGGAGATTTCGAAGACGAGTATGGCAACTTTTGTATCACG